CAAATTACCGCCTTGTTGGACGACCTCGGCCTGAGATCCAAACCACTGCCTTATATCGCCAAGCTGAAACACCTTTTTTTGTCACCATATTTTGTTTGCCAGGTGCTGTAGTGTACGTGTGTGCGCGCAGAAAATAATCCTGTTTAGAGGAAGTCCTTATGATGCATTCAAATTGTGTGGGGAAAAAACAACACAGCGAAATGGATGCAGACGCCTTAATGTTATCATGCGACTTTGTACTTGATGGTTGCGATAAGACTTATTTTAAATATTGCGTGTGGGGAAACTCAAGATACATACAGTGCATTCGATATATTGCCAACCCCTAGTTTCAGCTTAATTTACAATTATTCTTATTTCTTTGCATGTGATAAAGGGTTAGTTTACTACAAACAAAGTGGGGATCCCATCTTAAATACACCTTTACAAATATATTTATTCAGCAAATTGTTATTGTGTTTAATACTTGCTTTATCAGCTATAAAAGTTTGAGATAGTATTTTTGATCACGTTTGGATAAAAGAGTGTCTACAAAGCAAACATACACACTAAATAACTAACTTCAACTAAGTCTTTTGTAATAAAGTTAGAAAGACCACTTAGAAAAGACCACAGTTTTATTTAATGCCATTAGCAAGTGTAAACTTCTGAGTGGCATCGTCCTCAGTAGGGGAGCTGAGCCTCATGGCTCAGCAGCACATTTAGCTTCCCCTTTTAGACGTTTAATAGAAGCATAATAGAAATAAGACCAGCCCAAATCTCCCTAAAAACCCAACTAATTAATGTCTTCTGGGGGATTATCTCCTATTAAGAGGCATCAAACTTGCTCAGTTTATTTCCCTGAGTGAAGGAGTCTGCTGCGCTTGACTCACTGTATAAACATTTATCTCACGCCTTCAAATTAACAAAAACGTTAAAGAGTATTAACAGAAATGTGTCAACAAATTAATCAAACCGTAGAAACAAATCTTATCTCATGCTCAGGCAATAATATTTCATGCACACCATGAGGTAAAGCGCTGCTTTGCTTAATCACAAAAAGAAAAACATTTTAGGGTTTTTTTTCTTTAAATTTAAAATTTTGTATTTCTGTGGTGAAGGGATGATTCTTTTATTGATAAACTCCACCTGTAACTGCAACCCCCTACACAATTATCGCTTGAACTGAAACGATTCTTTAACCTCTTACTCAACTGCTCTACTTTATTATTTTCTGACTGCATCTTCAAACACTCTTCTGCTTAAATGGAGGCAACTTTAACGCCAGACCGTCAAGTTCACATTTCTAGCCAGAAATTGAAACAACCATGTGTTCAATGTTTAACAGACCTGCTCATACGCCTCCATCAGCTTTGTATTTACTAAATATTATGTGTGTTGGCTGTCAGAGAAACACATATACACAGACATATGGCATGTTTGTGTGCAAACTAAGAAACTGGAACAGAGAACCATAAATGCTGGCTGGTATTGCAGCTTCACAAATCACTAAATAATATCAGAGAAACTTCATTTTTTCATCTCTGCCTCCAGTAGATATAAAGACTCTACATAGCCAGGTAAAAATAAATGTTTTTGGGAGTTAAAAAAAGCAAGACCAAAATGCATTTCAGAACCTTTTCCATCTTTTTTTGCAACAAACATCAGGCATTGTTGGGAAAATTTGAAAAAAAAGGTAATACTAATAAGACTGTTTTAAAATGTTGTTAAATAAGCCCTTCTTTTAGTTTCAGCAGTCTTTCTTTGAATACAGCTGCAATCATTCTATATAATCTGATAAACAAATAAAGTTAAGGCTGTCTTTGTATCATTTGATCAAAATAAAGTCAGTTACATCCTCTCAAAGAAGCCACACCACAGAAAGATGTTAAAATGATTTAAAAAAGAAAAACTATCACAGCATACAAAGTTGTCAGTAGAAAAAAATAAAATAAAAAGTAAAATATCCAGCATAATGCATGCTGTATCAGTTTTTCTTCAGGATTTTTTATGAGTGTAGTAGAAGAGTGTTGCTTTGCTTTTTGTTTTTTTATTCTATGCACCACACCCATATGATCTTCCTTTTTTTGCCTCTTTGTAAATTAGGCCCACTCCTATTTCTGTCAAGCTTTTTGTTTATGTTGGTACGAAACATTCATATCTCCTATTAATATGCCAACTATCAGACTGACCCACTGAGACCTTCTGTTGATCCATCTGTGGCTGTGGCTAATCACTGGCACAGCAGCGCTGCTGCATTTTTTTGGATAGAAAAAATACCCAAAACACTGAACACCAGCCGGTTTAACTTGATACACCAGCCATTTGGGGATCCTTCTGAACATGGGTACTTCACCCCTGCCTTCAAAGGTTGCTCTCTGTTTGCTGGCAGGACGGTAGCCCATGTGTTCAACCGCCTAAAAAAGAACTCAGGTTGAGCCTGAGACGATGATAAAGTCTGAAGTGCATTGGGTTTAAATTTTCCATTGCTTTTCTCACATATTTGTGGAAAAAAGGAGGTGAAGTTGTTGGAAAACATACTTTCAGCCGTTGTCAAGTTTATTAAAATTCAGTTTATTGGCCTAATTTCAGCGGAATTTGGACAACTTTCAGCAGTTGTGCTGAAATGTGCTGAAGAGAACCCTGGGGAGGGAGCCTAGATGTTAGTCAAAGGGCCAGTATGCTATTTTTTATGATACAGCATGTTGTTGCCTTCTACAATAAAATGTGCTGATGAGAACTGTGTAGAATCAATAAATTATTTTACCAATAATCAAAGAAATCTGGACCAACTGTAGCATTTCTAAAATTAGATTCTACTCCCTAAACAACAAAAACAACATGGATGTAGTTTACTAAGGCTGCTTAGAGATTTACAGCAGCAATGAAGTGCATTGCCTGCAGTGAAATATGATGCTGTAACATCCTTTTCTCACAATTAAACCAGACTGTCAAGGCACAGAAAAACAGGACCAGACTAAACACAGGGCCTTGAGGTATTTCATGAAAAACTGAATAAATCCTGGTATTAAAAGACAGCTGTGAAGCAGTTGTATATCCACTGTGTACACATTTATTTTTTCTACCTTTTTTATGTAACTTGTACTTAATTTATGGAGGGGGAAAAAAAGTCATCATGAGATCACAGATAAAAGTGGCTGTTCACGATTTAATAATGAAAATAACCAAATAAAGTAGAAAGAAACCCTTCAATGGCTTCCAAGCCCAAATTAACTTAACAACTCATTTAATCAACCAAAACACAACACCATTACCCAAATCTGAACTAAAGACAATACAGTTAACCATAATTACCCAGAATAAGTGAAAACATTTGGGAAACCCAATATAACATAATACCTGCAAATATTCATAAATAAATATTTAGTTTCCCACAGCATTTAAGCAGGTTTAAAATGATTAATATCGTCACAAAATGTACACAGTCTCTTGCCTTTCGCTCGTAGATGGCGATCCAGTCTGTTGTAGAAAACCATTTGTGACCTTTGATGTCGTTGACTCCGTTCTTCAGGTTTCCGTACCGTTTGGTCAGATCCACCTGCAGTAGGTTTCTTAACAGGTCCTTTAAATCGGAGCTGAAGTGGGAAGGAAATCGTACCTGACAGGAAGAGGAAGAAGTTTTAAAACTATGAGCCATTTACCTCTAGATGCATTAATTAAAACACAGACAAGCAGAGCTTAATCATTCTTTCAGATATTTTTTTTTCTACCTATTTCAGACTCAAATATTCACAAGTTCTACATTTTCTTTGCTTCAGGATAAATAATGTTATTCGGAGTTTATGAATCAGATTTTTCATTATCTAACCTCGGTCAGATGCGAATAACAAGGTAAGGCAGCGTTTCAGGAATAAATTTAAATAAAGTCTTATTTGGATGCAGATCAGTTATTACATGCCTGAAGATTAACATGGGAAACAAGAAGAAAAAAGAATATAACTGGCATAGATGAACTGCTTCAAGTTTTTCTTTTGGAAATTTGAAAAAAAATTTTTTTCCTACTTTCCATTTTCTTTTTCCAGATCTGAAACATACTCAAACCATAATCCATACTTTACCATGCTGTGTAGTAATCCTGGACTATTCAAATTAATCTAGTAAAACTCCTTACCTTTCCAGACACAATCTTTTCATAGATTTGTATCGGTTGATCTGCAAAGAACGGAGGGTAACCAGCTGCCATTTCATAGATGAGAACTCCAAGGGCCCACCAGTCCACAGCTTTGTTATATCCCTACAGTGGACAGAGAGAGGTCTTAAAAACATTTTCTAAAGTCATGTGTCGAACAACATAGTCTTTACCTTTCAGGGCATTTTTATTTTCCATCCCTGATCTATTTAAATAGCTAATCTATAATAAAAAGCATTTTATAAACACGATTACATGCTTAAGCTCTACCTAAGAGACATTCCGATTTTTTTATTAATCAGAAAGTATGCTTTTTAAATGAAAAAACTGAAAAGAACAGACGTTTAACAGCCCTTCGGGTGGGAGGAAATCATCTACAACTTTACGTGCAAACAAAGAGGAACTTGTTTCAGGTTAAACAAATAGTAAACCACTTTAGCCATAATATTCTGAGGACCGTTTCCCAACTTTGCTTTTTTTTAAAATTGTAGTTGCAGATTTATAACTCAAATGCAGAATCAGAGAATCTACAACAATAAAGTCAAAACAGTTTCAGAACAGCTATATCAAGTTTGAACTGACCATGAATTCCTGGATAAAACATACTATCAAATCACAAGGTGCAGACTGAACATTTGATGTGGATGTCTGAGGGTGACCTCTACCACAACACTCAAAACCTGTATAGTATAGTATTGGTTTATTGATCCAAAAACTCTATTATAAAGAATGAAAACAAAACACTGTTTAGGACTAAAGAATATGGGCTGCTGGTTGTTAAACACTAATAAAGTTGTACTGATAGCCCATATCGTAGTTTATTTCCAGCATGAAAACTTTCACAGCATCTGGGTGAAAATTTGAAAAGGTGACAGAAATAGAGGAACAAATCATCTGTCTCACAAATAGGAAAATCTATAAAGAGAATTTAAAAAATATAACGAGGATAAAGGCAATTTGGCAGAAATCCTTAAACATTATCTGGTTATGCAAACCCAAACAATGTAAAATACACACTTTGCTTATAAAACAATGTAAAATACGCACTTTGCTTAGAATGATTTCCGGAGCCAAATACTCTGGTGTTCCACACAACGTCCAAGTTCTGCCTTTTACTCGTTTGGCAAATCCAAAGTCTGTCACCTAAGAGCCATAACAAAATATTTCATTACTGACTTAATTCTTTTGAAGAAATAAAACATTCCAGCATTATAAATCCATGTTCTGCACTGCAGCTGACCTGAATGTAGCCGTGGTGGTCGATGAGAAGATTCTCAGGCTTTAGATCTCTGTAAATGAGGTCTAATGAATGTAGGTACTCAAACGTCAGCACAATCTGGGCAGCGTAAAATCGTGCGTGTGGTTCACTGGAAATCAAAAGATGTTTATTTAGTATCAAACGTAGAGGGGGGAAAAAAAAAAAAAACTCCCAACAAAAAGTAGAAGGAATTAGACAAACACACGAAACAACAAAAAGACACTACAGCACAGCAAGTTTTAATCGGCTTGGAAAATATTCACCTGAATCTTCCAATTCTTCTTAGGTGAGAGAACATCTCTCCTCCGGGAACGTACTCCATTACCATGTACAAATTGGAGTTGTCCTGTAAAAGAAATAAGCTCCTGAATGTTTCAGATAAAAAAAAAAAATTTAAAATCTAAATCATAAGATAAAAATCATACCTTGAATGCATACTCAAGTTTGACCAGAAAAGGAAAGCTTACTGCTTGTAATATCCTCTTCTCATTTAACGTGTGTTCTATTTGCTTGAGTTTCACCACCTAAATAGGATCAGGCAGATTTTATCAGAACACCATCACTTAGAAGAATCAGGAAGCTAAGACAGCCTTTAGTTAATAATAACATTCCCTCCTGACCCCTAAGTAACCTTTTAGTTCAACGCATAAAGATTAAAAATGCAGTTTCAAAGAACAGAACCATTACTACATGTTTTAAGTGACACAAAGCTTTATCAACCCTGAATATTTTACTGCACATTTTCTGTTGGGGAATTTTGGCTTAAATCTAAGTGAAGTGTCCACCAACCTTCTGTTTGTCCAGGATTTTCATAGCAAAGTATTGCTCTGTCCCTTTGTGTTTGACCAGCATGACTCTTCCAAATGAGCCGGTACCCAGAGTCTTTATCCTGTCAAAGTCATCTAGGCATGTTGTGCACTGTAGAAACAACCTCAGGTTATTACTGTGCAAAGACAGCAAAGGTTAGCTTTAACAAACAAAATGAACTGACCTGTGGCGGGCATTCCCATTTCCGCAAGAAATCTTCTTTGGCTTTGGCTAGAAACTCTTTTACTGAAAGAATAAGAAAAACAAGAGACAGAGTGAGCTGGTGTTTACATTCAGTTTGTGGAAAAACACCTTTGCATAGAAATTTAAAACACATCTGGGGCTTAACTTAATTGCAAACAGACCGAGGATTAGAAGAAAAGGAAATGGAGTTTAGAAATAGAAAATTAATTGTAAGTTAAGGAAGAACACAAGCGGAGTTAAAGTCTCATCTGGATATGAAATAAAAACAAACACAAGACAACGACATCCATGACAGGATTCAAAAGGATTAAACCAAAAAAGAAGCGATACATTTCACTGGGCATCACCTTGGGTAAAAGAGTTTTAGGAAGAATGCTGGACATCTCACCCCCTTTGCCATTTCATACTTTTATTTTTGTACCCAAACATTTTTGGCGTGAAAATTAGCTGCGTGCCACCAAGTATAGTATTAACGATTGACAGTTGAGTGTTTTTATAAATCTCTTCTCATAAGCTGTAAATAAATACAGTTATGTAACTCAAATGCAACATTTACCAGTAGGAGCTAAATCAATAGCTCCAAAATTTTAGAATAACAGTTTTGATTTTATTACTAAATATTAGGGATGCACCGATCCAATATTTTTATTGGTATCGGTCCAGATATAAAGAAAAAACCTAGACCGGTATCGGTGACAATAGACTCAATATAGGGTTTATACGATTATATATCTGCATCGTCATGTTTGTCCCACCTCTCTTTTAGAGTATAAACACTTAATTGACTGCATAATAAGCTGTGGACTTAATAGTTAAAATTCATCCACCCAGCCAAATATATAAACAACAAGTATAAGTACAGTACATGATCCCACCTGGAACATATGAGCCTTTCAACTTGGGCATGCTAGCAGTTTTTTTTGTTGTTTGTTTGTTTGTTTCAAAATTATGGTGGTGGTTACAACTGGTGTATTATTTGATCCTATTTTTGGTTGCTTAATGTCCTAATGAGTCGTGTTTTATAAGAGCTAGTGATCAAAACCACAGTTAGTGAAAACCGGTTGTAGGATACAGAGATGTACTGATAAGCCTGTTCCTAAGCAGTACCGTCTTCCTGTATTATTTTAGATTATTTTTCTCACAGGCTATAACAGAGCAGCGTTAGAAATGTGCTGCACACTGTCAAACAGAGGCAGTTTTTTTGAATCCACTAGAGAAAAAACAAGAAAATTATTATAAGGGTCCCTGGACTTTATCTACTTTTTTCTGTTCAGAGAAGTACATTTAAGAATGGTATCAGTTGATGCATTCAAAGATCGATATAGTGGGAGTGCCTGCTGAAAATTCAACATTTGGCTTCCTGCTCACTAATCAGAGAGTATTAGGAGAAGAGTAGCTGATTCAGATCTCAAGCCTCTTGATTAGTGACTCTTCCATAAGACATGATCTTCAGAAAAATAATGAAATTAAATTTTGTGATTATTTTACTAATTCATCACCACTGAGGGGAATAATCTGGTACATGATGGCTAGGCACAAAGCTATGATAACAGTTTGTTTATGGGGGAAAAGAAGTATGTAAGGACAATTTGACAATGGTTGGATATAAAATAGAGGTAGGAATTGGCAAAAGGGAGTACTGACAGGAACCTTTGTTTTGTTTAGGAATCTCATTGAACAAGCTTAAAAGCAGAACAAAAATACACTAATATATGGGAAACACAGCAGACCGTAGACATCCAGATTGAGAGAGCAAATAACAAAAACATAAAACGTATTATTCAATCACATCAAAAGCAAGCACGTCTAGTTTTTCACAATAAATTCTTTGCTGCGCTGCTGTTCTGATCTTTTTTTAGCATACCAAATGTCTCTATAGATCATCATGGTTTTGCAGGAACAATCGTCCACATGGATGGGATGGTACAGAAGAGAAGACAGAGAGAAACAGAGTTCAAGTACACAACAAGTGTAGGACGACATCTACAAATGGGAGCTATGTGTTGTAAAAGAAAAAAAAGAGCAGGAATTAAAACAAAGCTGACAACCACTTGAGGAATTTAAACAGAGACTGTCTACTGTGGAAGTCAAAAGAACAGGTGTACCAAAATGGAATGTAGCATTAATAATCTGTATTGCACAGGATAACGATCAGTAAAAGAAAAAAAAAAAAAAAAAGTTTATGCTTCAAAGCCTTTGACTTTGGAAAACTAATGTTAACATCATAATACAGCTTTTTGCATGGAACAAATTCACTTTAAGTCCTTTTAGGAGAAATGTTATTCCGATTAAACCTACAATTAGACAACCATCTGTAAAGCCAGAGCAAAACTGAGCCTAGAATACCATGGATGAGTTATGCAAAGCTATCCTGTTACCCTACAGTGTGAACATTGTACATGGAAGTACTGTGAAGAGAAATAGGTGTCACACAAGCAAGTGTTTAATCCTGCTGTCCAACTGTGAGTGTACTACAGCTCTCCCAGCCACTCCAGCCGGTGACATCTCTATATACAGTAAACATATGACACGGTAGGTAACCAGGTTCACCCGCTGAGAGTGGCTATGCTCCAGAAAGGACTGCAGCTCAGGGTTATGTGTCAGCGTAGACAGGTTTAAGAGTTAGCGATCATGACTGTATTCAAAAGGAGTGGCTTTAAGATCATTGACAGTGATTGTTTGTAGCCATGTATTTGTTACCTTCTGGGGACAGAGTAAAAGGCCAATTTCTAAGGGCTTTGCTACTTTGTGGGGACCTGTCAACTGGTCCCAATGAGGAAAAAGTCTTCTTTTTTGGTTGGGGGATTGGGCATATTTTTTTTTTTATGTATAGGCCCTACAAATGAAGGAACTTAAATGCAAAACCCCAATAAGGATAGCAAGAAATAACCTGTGTTAATTTGAGGGCTGCTGGTTGGCACTATTCCCCATGCCCGTCTGGTGTCTCTCAACAGGTTAATAAATCTCAAATAAACACATTCAAAGCTTCATAAAGTGACTTTCCTTTAAACAAACTTGGGGCCATAACTACAAACACATGGTATGTGCTTTTTTTTTTAAATATATATTGAAAAACTTTCCATGAACTGTAAATCAAAACATTTGACGCACACTACAAACTTTTTTATGTTTGCAACCAGCCTCATGATTTACAACATAGATTCCCCCCAAAATGGTCAGATGCACACATCAGGTTTAGGAGTGTAAACCAACACCGGCCTAGGCCGAGTTACGTCAAACCGTTCAAAGCTTGTAATACCCCTTATCCTCTGACGAAGGTCCGATGACAAGCTGCTCCAGTCAATGACGAGATGAGTGTGAGAAGTGAACCATGATGGACTTTTACCACAGCAAGATTAGAGAACGGGGGCTTGAACAAACACAAGTGGCCTAATTTAGAGAGTGTGTGTACATGTGCTGCACAGACAGTAGCAAGGTCCTGGTTTTATGAATGGAAAGAGGGAATTTGTCATTTCTTCACCATATTTGGACATGTTGCTGTACAGAGAGAGAAAGCTTTGTTTATGAAGCTAATAATAAAAACGTGACAGCAGAGAGAGAGAGAGAGTCCTTGAGGGGGGGCAGAAACAGCCCCACGCTGCCTCAGATTAAACCTAATGCCTATTTAGAACAATTATCCACGGCTCTTTGGTTTGCTGCTGCAGATTGAAGATCATCAAAGTTTCTGTCTGACACAGCTGGCTGTGCCGAAAAGTAGCCTGAAGCCAAACATACTAGGAAAGAGAAACATTATCTACCAAGGGTGTTGAGCAATAATGGGTTAAGGATTTTTTTTTTATTATTCATCTATTTCTAAGGGCTCTGGACAGGAAACTACAGAAGAGGGTTAGGGCCACTGAAAAAAAAAAATAAGTAAGCTGATTTTTAAATTTTATATTTCAGTATATGACAAAAAAGTCAGAATTCTGACTTTTTTCTCCCAATTCTGACTTTAATCTCAAAATTCTGACTTTTTTTCCTCTCACAATTCTGACTGTTTTCTGACAGCTAACAAACATGTTAGCATCAAGCTGTAACCATGTCTGTTTTAGAGATTAGCTCTCTTGTTTTAATCACCTTCTGCCCTTCCATTAATTAAATAGCATCACCGGGCCACGTAAAAAATTGCGTCATTTTCCACCATTGTGTTACTGTCCCTCCCAAACAACTCACATCTTTGTCTGTGAAGCTGAGTGCTCTCACATCTCTTCCTTCATGGTGCCCATCTAGATTAAGATCCAAAATTCTGAGATTAAAGTCAGAATCCTGAGGGGAGAAAAGCCAGAGTCCCGAAGGGGAAAAAAGTCAGAATCCTGAGGGGGGAAAAAAGTCAGAATCCTGATGGGGAAAAAAAAGTCAGAATCCTGATGGGGAAAAAAAAGT